AGTATTGTAAATTCATGTAGTACATGTTATATTAGAGACTTAGGCTTTGTTTTGAGATGCCTTTTTTACTGCTTCTTAAAGCAACTTTTTTTTTTACAAAATTATTGATTTTTATACTAGAAGTTGCTTTAAGAAGCAGTAAGAAAGATGTCTCAAACAAAGCCTATTATTTTATATAGTAATATTGTGATGGTTTATTATTTATGTGAAACTTCACAATATTCAAGCTAATTAAGTCATATTCAAATAAGATTTGATGAACATTAATTTGAATAATGTTCAAATTCATACGAATAATGTTCGAGTCTTAATCAAATTTTATTTGAAATTGTATGAATATGCCTTGAACTAGCTATAAAAATAAATTATAACATACAAAAGCTCAATTAAAATAGTTATAATACAACATAGTATATTTTTTATATGTGAGACTGAAATCACAATAAGCATAACACAATAAATTATAACTTAATATATGAGAGTACAATCACAAAATAAAGAACATAATAGACAACAATTATGATACAACATAATGTATCGTAAATGAATTTCTCTCCCTATGACTTAGCGAGTGTTCCATCCACTTAACATTCAGGGGCGACCCCCTAAAAAAAAGTAAAATCCTTATAAGACTAAGGGCTGATAGGTAATTTTCCCCTCCAATAGGTTAAAACTTGCCATAATATCTGATTTTTCTCCAGCTTTGGCCTTATTCCGTCGAACGTAACACTCTCATCCTCTGCTCCGAATGCGATCGCCCTCTGCCATCTCAGTCTCTCTTTTGATTTTTCGTTCTTGAAGCTCGAATCGGGGGAGGCGACTAGAGAGGAGTTCATTTTTCATCATTCTAAGGTTCTCTGGTAAGTCTTCTTCGTCACTTCTTCCATCGATATCTTCGCTTCTTTCGCCGATTTCTTCGCTTCTTCCGCCGAATTTATTCGGTTCTATAGTTTTTCATCATTCCAATGCAAACAATTGGATTTCTTAGATTTTATAAGCACTATGTATTTTTCCTTTCTTAGATTTTAAAAGCATTATGTTTTTCATCAACTATTTGTAGTTCCTAGTCCAATTATGGTTTCTTTGAGACTAGATATAGCAATTTATGTTTAATAAGATCCTAATTCTACCAAAATAGTAGCAAGCTTGCAAAATAATCTAATTTAATTAGTTCAAAGGTTGGATTACCTGTTTGCAAAATAACCTAATTCTACCAATACAGTTTTGCAGATCTACAGTTTTTTTTTAGACCCTTTGAATTGTACCAAAGCTTATGCTAGTGTAAGGTTAGATTACCTGTTTGGATTATGGAACGTGTTGTAACACTGCATGAAGGCTCTTTCAAATTAAGGCTGAGAAATAATCTAATTTAGGAAATTGTTGTAACTTTCTTGGTAATATTGAACTTATAAAATTAAAATTCTAAATCTTTACAGCATCAGATTCCTATGAGACGAGCTTAACTGCTTAAACTATTCAAATATAAAAATGAAGAAAGAAAGTGAAAAAAATAATCTAATTTAGTTCTTCCTTCATTTGCATGCATATTCTTGAACTTGTTGCATTTAAGTGTATGTATCTCATCTACAAAATCTATTAAAATAAGCATAGCATAGTTTTTCAGTAATGTTTAAGTTCAAGTTCCTATTGTATTAATATTTGTTTGTTATGATGTAAAAATTTTGATTGACATTTGCTTTTCCTTGGTAATAAATTTCATTCTAGGGTTAAATAATGAAGCATTATTTAAAGAGAAAAGAGCAAATATAAATTGATATTAATAATCTCCCAGTAGATCTAGGACTCCGACTTCCTATTTGGAGTTATGATGTAAATGATAGAGATAAGATCCGGAGATCATATCTACTGAAGGAACCTCATCAAGACATCAATCGAGAGCCATCAATTTCCTCAAACTTTATATGAAAATATTGCATGTAGGTTCAATACGAAATGATTTGATGAATACTCTGATTGGTTAGAGTACAGTGTGCAAAAAGATGCAATTATTGTCTTTACTGCTATCTATTTAAACCTCAAGAGCAGATTATTAAAGGTCAAGGTGGTGGGGATTCATTTGTTAGAGAAAGTTTCAAAAACTGGATGAAGAAAGAGAAATTATTATATCACATTGGAGATCACAATAGTATACATAATAAGGCTAGACAAAAATGTGAAGATTTGATGAAAAAGCATGAACACAGTCTTCCAGCTTTATGATTAAGCAAAGATGATAAGAATAAAAAATAATATAAGATCATGTTGACTGCAGCCATTGATTGTGTTAGATTTTTGTTACGTCAGGGGTTATCATTGGCATGATGAGTCTTCCAATTCAAATAATCTATGAAATTATTTAGAGTTATTTGACTTTCTAGCTGATCATAATGAAGAAATTAAGACAGTGACATATTCATATGTTAGCTCAAATCTGAAGTTAACTTCACCAAAAGTCCAAAAAGAAATATATATTGCTACATCAGCTGAAACTTTAAAATATATCATGAAAGATATTTGTAACTCATACTTCTCAATTATAGTTGATGAATCTCGTGATATTTCTATGAAGGAACAAGTTTCTTATATTGTTGTGAGATATGTAGATAAGCTGGGTCAAGTGATTGAAAGATTTATATGTATCAAATATGTCACATCCACTAATGCAGTTACATTAAAGGCAGCTATTGAAGACATTCTAGCTAAACACTCTTTGAGCATACAAATGATACGTGATCAAGGTTATGTAGGGCATTCAATATGCGAGAGGAATTTCATGGTTTAAAGGCCCTTATTCTGAATGATAATCCTCAAGCATTTTATATTCATTGTTTCGCTCATCAACTCCAATTATGTTTGGTAGTAGTGTCAAAGAAATTTTGACAAGTAAAATATGTCTTTGAGCTCACTTCTAGAATTATTAATACTATTTGAGCTTCCTGTAAGAGATCAGATGCTCTTAAAAGTATTCATCATGATAAAGTCATTCATCTTAAAAATGGCAATCTCATAAGTGGCAAATATTTGAATCAAGAGACTAATTTACAAAAATCTAGTGATACTCGTTGGAGAACGAGTTCACATTTCCATTCATTGATTAGTCTCATGCGTATGTATGCTTCTGTCATCGAGGTCTTAGAGATTGTTAAGGACGAAAGGGTTCATGATCAGCAATCGGTTGAAGCGGGTGTTCTTGTTGATATAATGGAGTCTTTTGATTTTATTTTTATAATGCATTTGATGATTGGTATATTGGGCATTACGAATGAGTTATCACAATCATTGCAAAGAAAAGATCAAGACATTGAAAATGCGATGAAATTGATTCAAATATCTAAACAATGACTGCAACTATTAAGGGAGAATGGATGTAATGCTTTACTAGATGAAGTGTCACATTTTTGTGGTATTTTTGAAGTTGTTGTTCCAAACATGAATGAAACATATAAAATACGTCGTCGATCAGTGCGAAGAGGTGACGAAATAACAAATCTAAATCATTATCATGCTGATCTATTTTATACTATAGTTGACATGCAACTTCAAGAGCTAAATAATTAATTTTTTGAATCAAGCAGAGTTATATCCAAGTAATTCTTTTTGTGTTTATGATGAGAGGAAGTTGATATGTCTAGCAAAGTTATATCCAAGTGTTTTTTCTATAATTAAGGTTGTTGCTTTTAAAAGTCAATTATAAACTTATATTATTGATATGCGAACCAATGAAGAGGTCTCCTCTCTAAGAAGCATTGTTGATCTTGCAAAGCAGATTGTTAAGTTCAAGAAGAATGATGTGTATCCTCTATTTTACAGACTTGCTAATTTAGTATTAACTTTACCAGTGGAGAGAGCATTTTCAGCAATGAAAATTATCAAATATTGATTGCATAGTAGGATGGGTGCTAATTGGCTCAATGATTATCTTGTGCCTTACATTAAAAAAGACGTATTTGATTTGATTCTCAATGAAGATGTAATTCAATATTATCAAAAAATGCAAAATAGATTGATAAAATTGTAATGATTTTTAATTTTTCTATCATATTGGAATACAATTCTCATTTTTTTTTTTTTATATTTATCTATTAATAAGAAAATTTTGTCCCCCCTAAGATGAAAGGCTGGTTCCGCCCTTGTTTACATTGATGAAGCTAGTCTGTTCTGCTTTAGTATAACACTTAGGATACTCATCTATATCACTATAAAATGTCAAAATTAGTCTCACATCTTATAAGTTGTAGAATCTTGAATTTGTATGCTTTTCCTTATTAAAATTAGAATTTTCTCAGCCCTTCCAAGAATTTCAAAAACTGTCTAAAAATTTTATCCATCATACCCGAACTCTTTATGTGACTTGAGCAATATAGTGCCTCTATATGTATGATTAGAGTGAAAATATAAGTACATGAAAAACCAACTAAAACAAATCAATTCTAAAAATGATATAGATCATCAAAATGGTATGATTTGAATCATGTTCGAACCAAGTTTGAAACATGCTCAAATCTTATTTAAATATGTTTGAGTTAGATTTGAGTAAATTTTGAACATAATCCAAACTTAGTTTGAACAAATTTTGAACTTTGCATGAACTTAGTTCAAATAATATTGAATCATGAACTTATCTTTGACATTTGAGAACTATATCTTGTTATTTTTTTTATAACATCAGCAGTTTTAATCGAAATAAAATTTAGTATGCATTTCCCCGAAAAAAAGAGGGATTTACATACATACCATTTTGCTTAATGTTATTTATATATATAACTTCTAAAATTTTAATATTATATATCTATTATCTGCAGAATAAATATGAGTGTATGGAATGAAATATTAAAATTTATAGGATGGTCCGGGTGATAAGAATGAAATATATGAGTGATATATTTGATATTAAAATTTTATATGAATGGTAAAAATATAATATTAAAATTTTAGATATTTGATATATAAATAGGATGAAATAAAATGGTATGTATGTAAAAAAAAAACCGTATATTTGGCCAAAATTAGGCATTTACATTAAGGCGCAAACTCCTCTTGCCATGGAAGCTTGCCGGGCTATGCGACATTGGTTTCCAGTGAAATACCTCCGCCTTCTTGTCCGGCCCACGAATTCCTCGGCGACGCCCCGACCTCTTACGTCGATTCGAATATCCACTGGTACATCTTCTAAAATTTTTCTATTCCTTATTTCTGATTCGGTTGCTATACTTCACCAACTCACGCTTCCGCTAGCGCTCATCGGCACACGCCAGTGGGACAGGTCAGGAGAAGTCAAATGTGCGCCTCCTTCGCAGCGGCAGCCGGCGAGAGGCCAAGCTGTAGGGCGTACGATGGTTTGTTATTGGACGCCGGAGGCACGCTGCTGCAGCCGGCAAAGCCCGTTGAGGAAACCTATGCCACAATAGGAAGGAAATTTGGTATAAGAAGTTGTGACGAGATGGTTCCTTCTCATTTATCTCAGTTTAGATGGTTGAATTGACATAAACGTTTGAAATTACATCATATGGGAATGCTGTACAGGAGTTGATGTCACAGAGAGTGAGATAAAACAAGGGTTCAGGAGGGCTTTTGCTGCACCATGGCCTGGGAAGCTCCGCTACCAGGTCATTGCTATCCAAAGCTTCCCGTTATGCTTAATCTTTGTTAGATAATAGGGTTAATTTTTAGTTCATATTCTCAAGGTTTCACGGTACTATTCTAATATTAGAATCAAGTATTTTCCAGGTTGAACTTTTGCGCACTTGAGTTACTGCAGTTCCTTTAATTGTCCTAAAGCAAGATTGTCGTTTGGTGGTAGGGAGACGGAAGAGATTTTTGGAAGCTAGTTGTTTCTGAAGCTACCGGTTGTTCTGATAATGACTTTTTTGAGGAAGTATATGAGGTGAGCACTCAGACGATCTTCTATGAGATTCTTTTTAAATTTATTCCCTGTGTATGCTACTTTTTACTTAACGTAAGCCCTGGCTTATGAAGGGTCTGGAAGTAGGGAAGGGCTTGAATTAATTCACGGTGATACAGAGAGAGGACTAATAAATTAGAATACTTAGCGTATGTTTGTTTGAACCATATTCGACACTGGATCTATGATTTGTACTGTGAGAAACTTGTGCACAGAATGCAAGTGGTGTTCCTAGGTGATTAGGGAAGTTTCAGCTTTTGTTTAGACAACCTTAAAGTTAGGTGCTAGTATAAGACATCGGAAGAAACCTGACAAAAAAAGGAAAGTAGTAAGTTGGGCTGTTGATATATGGAAAATACTCTGAATGATTCTTATACTTGGATTACAAACTAGGATCTCTGGAGGCTATTGGTTGAACTCAATCTGGATCCAAAATTTTGAATGCCTTCTGTCATTAATTTGTTCATCTTAGACAGTCAAGTGAGAGAAATCTCTCTCTCTCTCTCTCTCTCTCTCTCTCTCTCTCTCTCTCTCTCTCTTTTTCTTGGCCCCAATTGAAGGCTCGTTGGCTGCAGTGAGAAAACTCACTGAGCTGGTTGTCTTCAACTTGTCTGTAACATTATCCTGGCCATTTGATTCCTTCATCTCAATGTCCAGATGAGAACTCTTTCTTTTAGCAATAGTAGATTTATTTTCATAGCTTTTGCATGTTGGAAAACTACTAGAATATGCAGCACAGTTGGTTCATATGCGCCTTTTCTTCTTGAAGAACTTTTTCAGGGGGTAAATGTTGAGAAAATTATATTGTTCTTGATGTTAATACCTTAAAGTTTTTGGTTATCTTTTTATCTCGTATGTCAGCACTATGCACATGGTGATGCATGGAGATTACCAGTGGGGGCTTATGAAGGAATGTGCCTTCTAAAGGATGCTGGAGGTCAAGTCAACCAAGAACATGCTCCTTTTTTCTGTTCTTATTGTGATCAGGTCACATTCTCAGTTTGTAACATTTTAAAGATAATTTTAATGCAGTGAAGCTGGCTGTGGTCTCTAATTTTGACACTCGACTTCGCAAGCTACTGAATGACCTCAGTGTTGCACAATTGTAAGTAAATAAATTTTGTTTTGTTAATCTTATCCCGTTCACAAGTCAAGTTAGGAATGCAGTCTTGCTATGTAAAATACTTCTGATTTTCCTTCAGAAATCTACGTTGGTCATTCATGTCTTGAATTTTAAAATAATCATAATAATCTTGCTTCTTTTGCTATGGTCCTTCATTTATGTTGGGTTAGTATTTACTTTTTCTTATTTTACCTCAATGGGCGTTATAATACTTCCAAACACAATCAACAGCGAATCCAAGAAAATAGAATATTGCATTACATAGTATTGCTTGGATCTATTTTAATTATGAGTAAATGACCAAATTGGTTCCTAGACTTTTTAGGTGTGTTCAATTTAGTCTTAGAATTTTTCAGGTATTCAATTTGGTCCCTCAACTTATTAAATATAAATCAATTTACTCATTCCATGAACTTCACTATTTGCTTTGGACAAAAATAGGCCTGGAGGCTTTTTCATCAGTACATTTTGGATTTTTAAGGTTAATAACAATTGTGAGCTGGAAACATATATTAAATTCTGATTAATGCTTCTCCTGTTGAAACTGTTTATAATTAAAGGCTATTACGTCAGATTTTTTTATTTGATTAAAACTTTTAACATAAACAATCTCATCTTTTTTTCAATGGAAAAGAAATAATGCTTTAATCACAAGAAAAAGACTAATGATAGATTGAAACACCCAAGAATGATTGTATTCTATATAAAAAATTAATAAATAACATTTTAAGCTAATTATCTTTTATAAGATTAAATTGTAGACTAGCAAATTTAATTTTGGTTCACTATACAAGCAGTATTATTGCAATTTTGTTTGTGGAATTTAGCATTGCTTGATTCTAAATATGTTCAAAATATCGTCATGGAAAGCTTCACACCACCTATTTCAGTCAAAACCAGATATTAAAGTTGATGAAATGACCAAATTGGTTGAGATTTGATGAGTTGAGATATTAAATTGAGCACCTTGAAAAATCTAGGACTAAAATAAACACACATAAGGTCCGTGCTTTACAAGTGCCTATTAGAAACAAGTTTGATGAGCAACCATTTTAACTAAATAGGTAAACTACTTAAACTCCTACAAATCAAATGGGACAAAATGTTCCAATCTTCCATAAATGTGAATATACCAAATATCATCATAATGAAAGCTACATGTATATAAATCAAGCATAAAAAACCTATAAATTATTGTAGAAGCATAACAATAAAATATCAAAAAGTGTGAAGCCAATATACAGGGCATGTGGTAAGGCTATATCATTATAAAATGAATTTAGTTAAACTAACTAGTAAAACTAAATTCCTAAAGCTAATACCATAAAGTTTTCAATAGTACCATTAGGGCAATAGCAACATCCGCAGAATGAATATTCATGTTACAAGTAATTCAAGGCATATTAATTAAAAGGATTATTGGCTAATTTCAATAACAAGTGCACTATAATTTGCTGTTGTTTTGTAAATGCAATAGTAGGGCATATATCCCTGTGCGAATATATATTTTTTCTTACTAAAGTAGGTCATAAGAGGCATAAATAAGAATCACACCATGTGCATACACCAAGGTACATCTTTGTATAGATGTCTAGCTGAGCTTTTCTACTTATGACCTACTTTAATAAGAGGCATAAAAGTTGATGAATCTTTTCCCGAGAGGATAATGAGTACTATAGATCTAATTAGAGGGAACAAGTGGGTTCAAAATATAGAACAAAACAACATAAATATTACCTTTTTTTATTTTGAGTAATTGCCTCTCGGGAAAAGATTCATCAACTTTAACCTTAATTAAAAATGAAGATTTGGTGGTAAGATGCTAGCTGAGCTTTACTTGTACATCATGCTTTCCTGCTTTGGAAACATATGGTGTTCGAAACTGAGGTAGGTAATTTGTTTTCATGCCTTAGAATTTCATTGCTACCAAATGTATTGCCATTTATTCTCTTACAATCTTTTTTTGATGTAGATTGCATTCTTGGCAGTTGAGCTTTAGATGGTCTTATACTTTTTATTTCTGCCAGGTTTGATGCCATTGTCGTATCTTCGGAGGTTGGTTATGAAAAGCCTGCTGCTGGGATCTTTTTAGCTGCTTTAGGTACTGAAGATCTTATCTTTAGCTCCATAAAGAGTATAATCTCACCATCCGTCTTTGTATATCATAAACATTGATCTATTGCTGACTCTGCAATTTCTCTCAAGGATAATGAGTATTCTGTGATAGCCTTGATTTCTTTTTTCCTTTAAAATAGGTTGATAATGAATTTAAAAACAGCGCATGAAATTTTGTGGTCAATTTCAATTTTTTTGGGGGTCATAAATAAACCTTTTTTCTCCACAAGAATATGCTTGTTAATTTTTCCGCAAAACTTGAAGATTTCCATTTCTACATAAAATAATCCAATTCTATTAATTCTTTATGTATCTTTGTTGAGTTTCTTTGATGTAATGTTTTGTAGATCAGATTGGTATTGAAGCTGGTAAGGTTGTGCATGTGGGTGATGATCAGAAGGCAGATAAGGTGGGTGCTAACTCAGTTGGCATTGATTGCTGGTAAGCTTCTGACTATTAGAGTGTGAGAAAGGAGGGGAGGGAGTGTGCGTGAAGATTAGAGTGAATTATGTATAGTTTCCTTCTTTGTACAGCAAATAACAATCCATTTATAGGTAAAATGAAAGAACAAATCAGAAAAAATACGTGACCAAATATATCATAATAATGAGAAAATCCTACTATATATATATATATATATATATATATATATATTACTCTCTCGAAAACTCAAAGATATAGAGAAGACACAAAGATATATAAAAGACGTCAGCTTGAGTATGATCTAAAGTTAAAATTGTCTTGAAGGACAAGATTTAGTGAAAATATTGGTTGGTTTCTTTCAGCAAGTAATAAATTTAAGGATACCACATTAGAACAGGTAATCTCACGATCATACTCAATGTGCTTGTTGTGCTCGTGGTAGACATATTTCCCAATGACAATTGTACATTGATTATCACATTGAATAATAGATGGACCATCATAGGCAATATAATGAGAAGCAACAAGAAAGTTTGACTAATATAATGAACTGCATAAGCAAGTGCCAGGATGAATAATAGTCAGATATACTAATCCTCTAACCAATTGTTAATATTGTATAGGATCTGATAGAGTTATCACTACAATAATATTGACATGACTATAGACTTCTAGAGAAGTGGAGGTTTGCCTTCATGTCATTGAATCTCGTATTAGCAAGAAGATAAGGGGCTTCTTGGTTTGTGAGAGAACATAACTAGTGGAGTCGGAAGAGATGTTAAGGCCAAGAAATGATTTAAGTGACCTAGATCCTTCATTTTAAAGTATTTTTGGGGATGTCTTTTGAGAATAGTGATACCATCATTGTAATTACTAGTGATGATCATATCTTCATTCTAAAATAATTATAAAGAGTTGGAGGACCGATTGATGTATAAAACAGAGAACCAATTGATGTTATCTCCATTTTGATAGTTTAATATAATAATAACATCTAGCTTTTTGGTGGGTGCTCTTATTGATTGTCGGCATCTGCTCTAAATAAACTTCAGTGATTGTTGAGGAGCTGGAAAAATCGATAATAGCTTGGTGAGAGATATTTGCTTGCATTAGATCGAATGAAGACCGATGATAGTTCTTTCATGGGCAACACTATGACCTTTTGGGCAATCACTAGACCCAAGGCATTGGAAGGCCTCTATGGCATGATGCATGTGAATAGAGACATCATTGGAGGGTGTGCAACACAAAGAGCACATTTTCATCAAAACAACAATAACAATAACAAGCCTTTATCCCACTATCTGAGGTTGGCTACATGAATCTTTTTTTCTTCATTGTGTTATATTAAGAGTCGAATTTTTATTTAAATCTAATAAAAAAAGTCATTTTAATACTTTCCAGCCATGTCTTTTTAGGTCTATCTTTATTTTTCTTGATATAGGTTGAATCTAATACATCTACTCTCCTAATAGAGTCATCAGAAGGCTTACATTTTGTGTCCAAACCATCTAAGACAAATCTCTCTAATCTTATCTGACACTAGAGCTACTCTAACATTCTAAGGTATGTACTTGCTTTTGCATTACATTTCCAATTGTAAAGCCACTAATCCACTTGAGCATCCTCCTCTATGCAACACTTAACTTAATTTTATGCTTGTCTTTCAATGGCTAATATTTTGCACCATAAAACATTGCAGGTCTCACCAACATCTTATAAAATTCTCCTTTTAAGTTTTAGGGGTACTTTTCTATCACACAACAGGCTCGATGCATTCCTCCATTTCAACCATCCAACTTGAATTCTATTAATAATATCCGTATCTATTTCACAATCTCTTTGAATAATTGACCCTAGATATCTAAAACATGCACTTTTTTTAATGACTTAAATACTCAATGTCGCAATCCTACCGCTAGATCTATTACTACTAAAATTACACTCTATGTATTCATTTTTAAATCTACTTAAATGAAAACTTTTAGACTCTAAGGTTGATCTCCATACTTCAGTTTTTCATCAACTTCCTCTCTGATCTTATTAACAAGAAGAATATCATCAGCAAACCGCATACCCCAAGGTACATCTTTGTACAGATGCCTAGTAAGGAGAAGGGATCATTTTTAATTACACATCAAAAGGCATGATCACTCCCCAATCTAATACACGAGGAGATTTTATTATAGATAACTACTCTCCGTTTAGTTTTAAATCTCGGCTGAATTTTGCAACTACATGTATATATAATTTATTTAACTTATTTCTCTTATTTTGTTTCTTTATGTTGTTAGACATTTCATCAATCCATGAGAGTTCTTATAAATGGCCAAAAATATTACCAAAATCATCAATGGCTGGCCACCTTTAGAGTAGGATGCCTATGGTCTAAAAATACCCTCCTTCGTAAGCTTTTTTTTATTATTGTTGGATGAAATTAGTTTTGCTTCTGCAAAATTCTCCTATAAAATCATGGTGGCTGCTCTACAATTTGGAGAGCTTGGAGGCTAATTAAAAACTCTTGTACTTGGTGTTCACTTAAAACTATGAATTTACCCTCTTTTTGAAGCACTTGGCCGCTCCTCAAAAAAACCCTAAAAACTAAAACTAGCGGCTACAACCAACTCCTCTTGCAAGTCCATTACATCCCCACTGACACCTTACCCCAAGGCTTCGTTTGTGATAGTTTTTTTTCTTCTTTCTAAATCAACTTTTTGGTACAAAATTTTTTAGTTCAAATGAAGCCTAAGTCTACTTTTCTAGCTTCCACTCCAAATCTTAAGGAAGCAAGGATCGACCTCTTATGTTCTCTTTCAAAACCTTAGTTCACTTGGCCCTTTAAGGCATCACCTTCTCTCCAAAACCTTGTAATCTTATACTCCTTGTCTTGGCCTTCCTCTCTCCTTGATCAAGCCCCACTGCAATCCACTCAGCCTCACAAAAGTTAACCCTAGCCTAACCCAATTTAAGCTCAAGTTCAAACTCAAAATTAAGTCAATCTAAGTTTTCAATATTTGGCCACTTCCCATATTTGAACCCCCAAGCCGCTATCATGCAAACTATTGTTTTCATCATCAAGATCCTCTATTTGGTAGTCCTATCAGAGGATCTTGGCCAACATCGACATTTGTTAGTAGGGTTGGAACTTTAGCATCGGAGGGCCTTGGCATAAAAAGAGATTCGCCACCCCCCTTGAAAGGATTGATAGGATGAAAACTGGCTCCATTACAAAAGAGGACATCACAAGCTCAAAATAGGGGAACCTGACATTGATATTCTGTTAGAAAGAGAGTATGGGAGAGAATTGCAACATATACAAGCTTATTTATAGTCAAAGTGAGGGAAAAAAAAAAGAAATATATAATGTGCAAATGTCTCATAATAGTAAGAAAATTCTACTGCATAATGATAATGAGAAAATTCTACCACGTCATATGGTTATAGCCTTAGTTTTAGTTGTTTGGTTTTAATTTTTATTTTCTAAAGTTGACTATATTCTATCAGTACAGTATGCTCTGTAATTTAGGCTTCGTTTGAGACGGCTTTCTTACTGTTTCTTAAAGCAGCTTTTTAATACAAAAATTTAAATTTTTATTCTAAAAAGTTGTTTTAAGAAGCAATTAAAAAACTGTCCCAAATGAAGCCTTAGCCTACTTGGAGTTTACTGGAAAGAGGATGAGATAAACTAACTACCATTCTTAGTTTGTTATTTACGTACTATTTAATACATCAGTTATAGCTTCTTATAAGTTTAATTCCTTCTGGGACAAATTGCAGGCTATGGGGTTCCGATGTGGTGTCTTTTCCCCAAATATGTGAACGAATTCTTAAGCAGAGTCCTTCCTAACTAGAGAATAACAACGCATTGTTCTTCCGATTTCTCTTTTCAGAGCAGGTATCGTTGAAGATTGAAACTTTGTTTTATGAAACGCATTTTCATTCATTCGCTGTCTTATTTTCTTACAATTGCACTCAGTTCATCATGCAAATGGGTCTGAGTAAGCTATCTAATTTATATATTTATGATTTTTCGTATAATTTATATGGTTTCTCAGGCTATCAACTAAAGAAGCCCTTGTAATAATTTCATTTCCCAGATCAACAGACATTGACTTCAATATTGCTGCAAATAGCCATAGCAAGTTGGGTGGATATGCAATTATGAATGCTTTCAATCATTTTACACAAATTATGAGACTATTGAACCATTGAAGAGCAGTGTAAAAGGGTATCAAAGCGCTCATTTTATTTGAGTAAGATATGAAAATTACTTGGGGTTCATTTTGGATTGATGCAATTTTTTATAAAGGTGATTGTAAAGCTGTTTTTGGAGAAATTGTAGAAATCAGCTTTCTAGAATAAAAATTTATTGTAAGTAATGGACAAACTATAATTGTGGTTGTGATCTGAAGAGGAAAGTAATGAAAAATTTGTCCTAAATGAAACCTTAGGATCTGTTTGGGATGGCTATAGCTTTTTAGAAAGTTGGTTGTGATGTTGTTTTAGAGAAAATAAATTCTCTATTATGGTTGCCAAAAAAAAAAAAACTTTTCATCACACAATTTTTAAATGCAGTGAAAAAGCAGCAAGAAAGTGATACCCAAATAAAATTGTGATTGTTATTTGAAAGCAAAACAATAAAAAAGAAGTCTCAAATAGATCTGTAATCACTTTATGATGCCGTCATCTAATAATTTTATTTTATTATTATTATTATTATTATTATTATTATTATTATTATTATTATATATATATAGTAAAATAGATGTAAAAAAATCAGTTTTTTATATAATTCCTCTAATTTAATTGCTAGAAGATTAAAAGTTGCAAAAGGAAATATAATTCCTCTTTAACTACTCTAACGGGAGGACAAGTTCACAATTAAAAGTTATTTATTACTTCAAGCAAAGATTAATATCATGCAACTCTCTAAGATAAATAAAGTCTACAATCGTCTGAATTTGGAGGACAATATTTAGATGCTTAGCTGGGAGTTAGCCTGTCAACTTCAGTTCATATGCTGCACCGGTCAATCTCTTTTCAAGAAGCCACAAGCAAAGATATTCGTAATCATCGGCCCTTCTCCTTGGAGTATTAAGATATCCGCCATCATGGGCCCTTCTCTTTACCATCGGCTCATATCAGCCATCATCAACCTCTTGCTCGACTACTATTAGCAGCATACCCTCCAATTATCGCCTTCAGCGCATCGCCTTGCTGCTAATTGTTGTCTGACTTTCACCTTACAACCGATTGCCACCGAAATTCCTCCTGGCTGTCGATCCCACCGGACTTCAACCTGGCTGCCAACTGCTATCGGACTTATGCTTAAACATCGTCAAATTTTTGCCCTTCTATTGAAAATTATTGGCTCTCCTCCAGGTGCTATTACCGTTAGATCAAATATTTTGAAATCACCCTCGCATGCAAGATGTAGTCGATCTTCTTCTGTCAAGTGCAGTCTATTGAGAGAGTAAACTCTCATCGAGACTCCTTTTACACAAAGAGGGACACTGAAACTTGATATGGGATGTCAACTATCTCAGACAGTGGAATATCTCTAATGTTAGAAGAAATATGAATGAAAAGAAAATGGAAAAAGATTGGCAAGGGCTACTTCTTCTGAACAAAAAAGAGGAATTGAAGCTTGATAGGGGATGTCACATATCTCAGACAATGACATACCTCTAATGTTAGGAGTTCAAAAGAGAAGAAGTTAAAAGGAGGAGAAAGTTTCTTCTACACAAAGAGGTGTACTAAAGCTTGATAAGGATGCTGTCTATCTCATATAGTGTAATGTCTCTAATGTTAGAAGAAGTTCAAAAGAGAAGAAGATGAAAGGAGAAGAAAGTTCATTCTGCACAAAGAGGGGCACTTATACTTGATAGGGGATATCATCATCACCTGATTACGATCTTTCCGACCTCTGTAGTCCGCTAACTATTGTCTTTCTGACTTATGTTGCCCGACTAAGATTCTTCCAACCGCCGTTGCCTAACTATGGTCCTTCTGACCTACATTGTTCGTCGAGCACAGTCCTTCCGACCTGCATCTCTTGCCAACTATGGACCTGTCGACCAAATGAATATCTCAACACTGATTTTTTCAACTCCAATCATGTAATGCACTCTATATAATGTATATTTGGTACATCGAATCAACCCCTCCAGAAGAGTCTCATTTCTAGTCAACTGCAAACTAGTAGATTCATTTAAACTGGATAAGGCCATCTAGTTTTTCCACCTTTTCAGGAATTTTTACGTAAAAACTCTATTGTATCTTATGAATATTATACTCATATCTTTCATCTATTTGTGTATTAGATCTTCGTACAAAATTAGGACGTTAAAGTTCATATTTCTCTACTACCACAAATATTCGATGATGCAACAAAGTTATTTTATTTTGATGGCTACAAATTAATTTAAAATTAAAATTTACATCTTTAAACTTCCATAAAAATAAGTGCAAGAGATTGATGACTGGACTGAAACTCTGCAAGCTTTGGAATGGCGAGGTCTACTGCAATAATAGTAGCTTAGGCTGTTGGGAGAATTGGAAAACAGAAAATTTAATTAAAATGAAATAGGAAAGAAGAAAAAAATAATAGCCATGGTGTATTATCTTGAATTCATATGATGTGATCTTATAAAAAATTATGAAAATATATTCTTTTAGCAGAGTATTCAAATGGATAATTACTAATATTAATTTTTTATTTATTTCATTAACTTTGGGGAAATTTGAGATTACTCTTTTTAGCTATAATTTGAAACAATTATGCTTTAAACACCCAAAGACATCCCTATTTTGTGCGTGCGTTTATACCAACATTGCACATTTAAATGTTTAGAAAGAAAAGATTTAAGACAACAACAGATTTATATTTGAGAGGTTTGATAGAGTAGTATAGAGAGAATAAGGAGATTCTCCATATGATGTTTATTGATTTAGAGAAAGTATACGATAAAGTTTCAAGAGAAGTGCTATGGGGAGTTCTAGAAAAGAAAGGCATTAATAATGCTTATATTCAAGTTATTAAGGATATGTATGCAAGAGTTGCTGTGTTTAAACTCAAGGTAGTTTGACCAAGTATTTTCCTATTTTTGTTGGATTACATCAAGGATCAGCCTTAAGCCCATATCGTTTTGCTTTAATCATGGTTGTTCTCTCTAAAAATTTGCAAGAGGTACCCGTGTATGCTTTTTGCTCATGATATTCTTCCTGTCGGTAAGATTAAAGAGGGAGTTGAAAGTAAATTTGAATTATAAAGATCTATCTTAGAGTCTAAAGATTTTCATTTGAGTAGATCTAAAATTGAATATATGGAGCATAATTTTAATAATAAAATATTTAGATGAAGGATTTTGATTTTGGGCAATCAAGTCATTAATAAGAATACATATTTTAAATATCTTGGGTCTATTTTTCAGACTGATGGTAAAATAGACGGAGATATTATTAATAGAATTTTAATTCGCTGGCTAAAGTAGAGGAATGCATCCGGCTTAATATTTAGAAAATTCCCCTTCAAACTTAAAAGGAAAATTTTGTAAGATTGTCATGAGACCTACAATGCTTTATGATGCAAAATATTGATCATTAAAAGAGAAGCATAATATTAAATTAAGCGTGGCAGAGATGAAATGGATGAGTGGCTTTACCCTTTTAGAGACTTTATATGAAATGAGCATATACTTGAAAAGATTGAAATAACTCCAATGAAAAATAAGATTATAGAGAGTCGACTTAAATGATTTAAGCACATAAAATAGCGGCCTACTGATGACTCGGTTAAAAAAGTAGATGTATTAAATTTGACTTATTTTAAGAAAGGTAGAGATAGACCTAAAAAGACTTGATTAGAGAATATTAGAAATGATTTTTTTTAATTAAATTTAAATGGAAATTTAACTCTTAACATAATACAATGGAGAAAAATGATTCGTGTAGCTGATCCCACATAGTGGGATAAATGCTTGATGTTGTTGTTAGCATTGTAATAGATTATCCATTTGAATACTTGAATGAAACTATTAAACACAAAAGACAAACACAGATAACATCAATATTTAATATTGATAAATTACTCCTAATGAAAGCCATTGTGGCTTTTACCAAAATATACATGCTAGTACAGAGATTAGTATACACTGTAAGTACAAATAATATCTAAAAATGGAAGAAAAAAAATTCAATTCTCAACAAGATTAGCATTCAAAGGAATCCCTTCCCAATCCCAAAGGATCAGCACCATTAATTTTCAAGAGCTCTAATTTGCTCCATACAGTGGTGGAACAAATCTGCAGTTCTGAAGCGTTTGCTCAAATATATGGCCAACCCTCAACAATGTATCCTGGTCAACATGTAGGACTATCAGGCAAATGTATGGTCCAAGCATAAATAGCAGCTTGCCATTTAGGCTTCGTTTGGGACGACTTTCTTGTTGCTTCTTAAATTAACTTTCTAGTTCAATTATTTAATTTTTTATACTAGAAAGTTGCTTTAAGAAGCGACAAAAAAGCCGTTCTAAAAGAAGCCTTAATATCATCATAGAATGATAATCAATGAAGGAAAAGCATATAGTTTAAGGCTTCGTTTGAGACGTTTTTTAATGCTTCTTAAAGCAGCTTTCTAATTTAATTTTTTGTACTAAAAAATTGCTTTAAGAAACAGTAAGAAAACCGTCCCAAACGGAGCCTAAATGAGATGCAGCTAGATATATCAAATAGTTGAGGGGAGAGTCCCAAAATTTTCAGAGTTAGGATAAACAGGTTGCTTTCTTTTCCATTTGCAGGGATTGCTAAATGAGAATGCAACTAAGATTTTGTTTGAGATGACTTTTTTACTGCTTCTTAAAGCAGCTTTAAAAATCTCTCTTACCTCACAAAAGGCTGCAGCAATTATCTGAAGTCCAACAGGAAGACCAGCTGGTCCACCGTCAACAAATCCGCAGGGAACAACGAGGGCTGGGAGCCCAGCCAAGTTGACATTAACCTGCACAAAAAAAAAGCTTATATTACTGGTCAATTACAGTATCTGACTTTAATAACATTGAGCGTGACTATTTTTTAGCCTTCAATTATATTTTTTTCTATTTCTTCTATGCGAATGTTCAGGATTAATCAACAGGAAATGAAGTTGCCGCAAAACAATCAAAATTTGTGAAAAAAAAAAAAAATTTTCCCAGTTATTTTGCGGAACTATGAGACAGAATTCACCACCCCCATCATTATTATCATTAGCTTCATACCAACTGGAGGCAAAGACATAACTTTTCATGTTTTGCATAACAAATAATACTACAACAACAACAACATCAGGTTTTTGTCCCACTACATAGGGTCGGCTACATAAATCCTTTTTCGCCATTGTGTCTGATTAAAAGTCAAATTCTTATTTAAATCTAATAAAGAAAGATCATTTCTAATATTTTCTAATCAAGTCTTTCTAGGTCTATCTCTATCTTTCTTAACATAAGTTAAATCTAATGCCTCAACTTTCCTAACAGAAAGGGTGTCGTCTAATCTTACGTGACTTTCTATCCAACAGGGAGCATCATCGAACTATTCTGACTTCCAATCGAACAAGGAACGAAGGCGAAGAAACTTTGAGTGAATCGTTCGAAACTCTACCTTACATGTCCTCACTTCCAATCTAACAGAAAGGGCGTCGTCGAACTTACATAACTTTGGATCCAAAAGGGAACATTGCCGCATTGTTCTCACTTCCGATCAAACAAGCAATGTTGTCAACAAAGGCGAAGAAGCTCTTAGCAAATCATTCAAAACTGGGTGAGGGTGTATGCCTTGCGGGAGGCCAACTGGGTGAGGGTGAACCAAGGTTTAAAGGTTAGGTTTAAGCCTTTTTTTTTTTTTTTTTACTTGTTCTATTGAGGCCAACGACTCACGTATATGAGGCGAGACGTGCCTTGAGGCGCCTCAGACAATTCAAGGCGTAAGCCTTGCGGGAGCTGCTAGAGGTGTCCGCCTCGATTCGTTCCGAGCGTGAATTGCGTTGAGGCGCACCTTCAGCAATTTTAAACAGTACGTCATTAATCCACCATATTCAAAAGTTTCGGTTTTCATCAATCCCTCATGTGGCTGTCAATTGAAAATCTCTCTAATGGACGGAACGAAAAAGAAATAGAAACCAAAGTAGCGTTGAACCACCATTTGAAGCAAAATTGATGCGAATAATTCAATTCAATAAAATTCTTCTCAAGCAACTCCTTGAAGATTAAATAATACGTTGCAACTTTCAACTAAAATACCAAATCCAACAAAGGAAAGCTATTTGAATGGATGATTTGATTCACATACAGTCATGATGTCGCCAGCATACATTGCAAGAGGATTGTTGGTCTTTTCACCTGTGAATAAAATGACATAAGTTCAATAGGAGACTCTATAGGTCAAATGGTATATGAAAGAGGAATACCTATCTTATAAGCAGCTGATGGAGCTGCAGGTGAAATGAGTATGTCATTGTCATTCATTGCATCCCTGAAACACTTTTGAATCAATGTTCTTACCTGCAGGACAGCAAATCAGATTTGTTTTGATCTTTATTTCTCTCAAAAATGACTCATGCAAAGATAGCTAAGGCTTCGTTTCGTACGATTTTTTTACTACTTATTAAACCAACATTCAAGTATAAATATTTTAACTTTTGTACTAAAAAGTTGTTTTAAGAAGCAGAAAGAAAATCGTCCCAAACGAAGCCTAAATCAATCCAACCTGCTGTGCTCGTTTATAGTAAGCATCATAGTACCCCGCTGAAAGTGCATATGTTCCCATTAAGATTCTCATTTTGACCTAAATAAACAATACTCATATGACCTCTTAAGAAAACTTTGTGAACCATGTCAATGTCTCATAAAAAAAGAAAATATAATTCTCACACCTCGTCACCAAAACCATTGGCTCTCGAATGACCATAAATAGAACTTAGTTCTCCATTCCCAACCTGGTTTCCATACCTGAGATCAGGAAATCAACAATCTACAAGTAAAATGCTTGCGAGAGTGACCAGAAAGCTGTTCACAATGAACAAAAAGAAGCTGATTTTATCTGTGATTATTACAATAAAAAGATAGGAAGCTATCACCTTAAACCATCGTAGCGTGATAAATTAGAAGAAGCCTCTGATGAAGCCAATATATAGTAAGCAGGTAGACCCAGAGAAAATGAAGGCAGTGATATCTACAATTGATATCTACAATTTCATTGTGTGGTAGCTTCTAACACATTAAAAGAAGAAAAAAGAGTGTAGAGAAGCAAAACCTCATTTAGAACACATCCTAAATGCTCCAAATGTGAAGCAGCAGCCTGCACTGCTGAAACGACTCCTGCATCAACTCCTTCACCAATAGTTTCCCGAATCAGCCCAACTTTTAACCCCTTTAAAGGTTTTGAATCTAGATTATTTAATGAGACCAACTCATTTGCAAAGTCTGGCACATCCTGAAAAGCAGGGGAAAAGCTACAGATCTGGGTCAGAAATCCTTGTTCTGGTATCATAATAGAGTGATTTCAAATAGTGGTATCATTACAACTGACAAGAAGGTCATCATAAATTAACTTTTGCAACAAGTTGATTTAATAAGAAACCTCCAGAAACACAAATTAAAAAGAAAGCACCTAAATCCACTGTTAATCAACTATGATTTTCACTTTATTTCAATAATATTAATTAATTGAGCCATAAAAAGACATGATGAAAGGAAGTTTACCAAAATCAGCCACATATATTGTTCTTTATTATGCATCCTCTTTTTTTGGTTAGTTCAACGTAGCTGATGCAAGAATGTTAGTAGACAATAGAGAAAATGGTGATGGACTAAGGCTTCATTTGGTTCTTCCTCTCCTTTTGTAAAAGGTAGCTTTAGAAACATTGATTAAGGGAATGAAGTTTTTCTAACGGTGAAGTAAATATCAAAAATCTTCTCAAAACAGTTGAAAATTGAAGTTCCCTAAAAAGCATTTATGTAGAAACGTCCCATCCAAACATCGACAAAAAAATAATTTCTCAGTTTCTAAATAGAAAAGGTAAAAAAAACGTCGAAACAAACGAAGCTTAAATTGGGAAACTTCAAGTTATCATCAGAGGTAGAAATACAAAACTTGGCCCATATGTTCAAAGGTACAAACACAAAGCTGGGCCAAGGATAAATGCATAAAGAACATTTCTTTACATCTCAGCACCACATCAGCCAGAATGAGGACTTCAAGCAGCATTATAGCGTAGAAATAAGAAGCCCAAATATTTCAAAAAAGAGATGGAAGAAGCAAATTAATATCCTCACCCGCTTGCTACTTGTAGAATCTAATCTGTCATGACCTGAAATCACATTAAGAAGAATTGCAACATCAGCAATAGAAGAACCAAAGCACCCAATTACGTCGAGTGATGAGGCATATGCCATGAGCCCAAACCGAGAAACTCGACCATATGTTGGTTTCATTCCAACAACACCACAGAAAGATGCTGGCTGCCTTACACTACCCCCAGTGTCACTTCCCAAAGACACCACACATTGCCTAGCTGAAACAGCAGCAGCTGAACCCCCTGATGAACCTCCAGGAACCCGTGATAGATCCCAGGGATTTGCAGTGACCTATAAATACATCACCATAGTAAAACTGCATTATGTTCAAAATTCCTCCAAGCTATAAAAATACTGTAGAAATTGAGACATAATAACCAAGAATATTCAAAGATAAGAAAACTAAAAGACACCTCTAACAATTATCTAACATTGATTATGACACTTAACAGATTGCAAATATTGTCATGTCCACAATTCTTCCGTGCATTCATAACTAAGCAATCCATCGCAATCAAGCAATCTGGTTAGCCAAATGACACTGCGAAATAGAGAGATCTGACAAACACAATAAATATATATCACTTCATATCAAAATTTCTTGCTCTGAATCCCCATCGGATAACAGCACTACTAGATTTTTGCTTTTCTTGACAGTTAATTCAAACACCTTGTTTCACAGTGATTCTAACTAACATGATGTCAAGGAAGCATTAATCAATTCTGTAGACAATATGGATTCCGCCAAATGTCACAGCATACAGTATTTTTTGTATTTGTTCTCCAGCATCCAGCACTTTCACCCAGGAACTGAAAAATAAATGCAGATCCAAAACACCTTTTCCTTATAAACATCCATTGAATTGCACTAGAAAGATATATAACAGGAAAGAATTTGATCTATTTAATTGATTCTCTAAATACACATATAGAAACCTATAGATAGGGGTGTCAAAATGGGTATTCGGATTGGGTTTAGGTAGAAACAAGAATTGACATGGGTCCAATTCAATTGACCCAAACCCGACCCGCTAACCCAAAATACAACAATAGTTAGGGCACAAATGCGAGCGCGAAGGGGGTGCGGATGTGAGTCCGAAGGAGCGTGCGTGTGAGAGCAAGCGCGGCGTGCAGACACGGGAGCTGGTGCGGTGCGGTGCGATCACGGGAGCTGGCGCAGGTTCGAGTGCGGACACGAGTGCGAGCACAAGTGTGACCCCGGGTGCGGACCCTTGTGCGGGAGGCAGGAGGGCAAGCGCAGCTCGTTGCATGGGTTTGCGAGCATAGGAGCGGTGCGGATTGTGGACGGTCACGACTCGCGAGTGCGGATTCAGGTCATCTCAAATATATGAGAGATAGAGAGAGCTAAATTGTTATCCAATATAATGAAATAATCATCCCCTCCCCATAGACTTATTCATCTTCGCCGAACCACGTAAATCATCGTGTTCTTTATTTTGGTTGTATAATTATGTTGTTTTCCACTGTTTGCACAACAATTGGTATCAAAGCCCCCTTTTGGTAGTATTTATGACGGTGACTTGAATGACAGATCAATCAGTTCTTTTTGTTCATGTGCTTCGTCTAGGAGAAGGAAGAAAGTCGGATTGGTGTAGTTTCGACTATGTGAGATGGCTGCAATTTGGTGGAGACTATGAAATTCAGTGGAGCCATGAAAACATCCACCTCGACGGTGGAGAAGGCGTCAATTCATTAGGTGATTACACATCCCGTCAAAATTAATGTGACAAAATTTGACAGTAAAAGAAACCTTGGCATGTGGCAATGTGAGGTGATTGATGCGCTATGCTCTCTGAATCTGGAGGATGTTCTAGATACCGAGAAACGTCTTGAAGAGATGTCTGTGAGGAATTTGCTCAAGATGAATCGGAGTGTTTGTGGCTTGATAAAAAATTGTCTATCTCAGGAGATTAAGTATGGATTGATGATGAAGACTTCAACAGTGAAATTGTTGGAGATTTTGAAGAACAATTATCTAACAAAGAGCGTGGAGAATCGTCTCCATATGAAATGCAGGCTCTATATGTTTCAAATGAGACATGAGGTTATAATTGATAAGCATTTGAATGACTTCACAAAACTGTTGGCAAATTTTTTTAATTTGTATAAGGATGTTGGAGATGAAGACAAAGAACTCATCCTGTTGAATTCGCTCCTAGATGAGTACAAAAACTTCACGATGATACTCGTTCATGGGAATGATGGCTTGAACTATGGTGAGATGACTACTGCATTGTTAAATCATGAGTTCAAGATTCGGGACAAGGAATCTGCAAAGATGGATTCAGCTGAAGCTCTCACACTCCAAGGAAGATCTGAAAAGCAGAAGAATAAAAATGGCGGCAACAACAAGCAGGGCAAATCTCGTGGGCGCGGTCTTGGGAAAAATTAGTGTGCTTTCTATTTAGAGACTGACCATTGGAAGAAAGATTGCTTGAAGCTGAAGGAGAAGGGAAAATGGAGTTTCCAAAGAAGCAAAGACAAATCTTAGCGTGGAAGAGCATGACGAAGATTAGGATGTATTACTATTTACATTTTCTCAGAGTTTGTACTAATATGGTTCATGCTAGATTTTGAATACTGATGCTACATTGCTACATATTACATTTGTCCCACTAGAGATTAGTTTTGTACTTACAAGGAGCTTGATAGTGGTGTAGTGACCATGAAAAATAATCAAGCTTGTTGTATGGTTGGTATGGAGAGCATATTCATCAGAATACATGATGGTACTGTAAGAGAGCTAACTAATGTGAGACACATTCCACATATAAAGAAAAATTTGCTGTCTGTTGGTGCTTCAGAGACTAAGAGCTATAAGATAGTCATTAAGGCATTGAAGATATATCATGAAGCGATGGTTTTTCTGAAAGGAGTTCTTCAACACAACCTCTACTATCTTTAGGGAAGAACAACGATTGGAACGATTGATGTTGTTGATGATTCTTCTAATGCCACTACATTGTGGCATATGCGACTAGCTCATGTTAGATAGGTTTTTCTTATGGCTTTAATAAAGCAAAGATTGATCAAAGAAGCAAGCACCTGCAAGCTCGATTTCTATGAACATTGTGTGTTTGGCAAGAAGACATGAGTATCCTTTTTGTACTATCCACAATACAAAGGGTATCTTGGAGTATGTTCACACAAATATTTGGGGCCCGACGAAGACAGCATCATTCGGCGGGCGGCGATACTTTGTCTCTTTTATTGATAATTATTCTAGATACATATGGGTGTACATCATGAAGCGCAAGAGAGAGGTACTAAAGATTTTCATGACTTAGAAGAAGTGAATTAAGACTCATACTGGTAAAAGGATATGGTGTATCAGATCAAACAATGGGGGCGAATACACTTCAGCTGCATTCTTACAAAAGTGCCAGAGATCTGGGATAGAGCACCACTTCACTATTAGAGAGACACCACAGCAGAACGGGATGATAGAGAGGATGAATCGAACTTTAGTGGAGAAAGTTCGATGTATGTTATCTAATGCTAGGTTGGAGAGAGTCTATTGGGCAATGGCGATAGACTATGCATGTCAATTGGTAACCATTTGACTTATGCATTTATTAGGACGAAGACCCCAAAGAATGTGGTCAGGACATCCTACTAGAGATTATGAGCACTTGAGACTGTTTGGGTGTTGACCTGCTATGCCGTGCAAAAAAAAAAGTCGAAATAAAATCTTACTTGTCCGGCTCCTGCCATCCCACGACGTTCGCACGTCGTCGCCGCAATCAAAGTCGCATCCTCGCACGTCGTCTACACGACTCGATCGAGTCGTTAAATGGCAGAGGAAACGAAGCCGCTCGGCTCCCTTAGGGACTCTCTCTTTCTCCCGCTCTTACCTCTCTCGCCTTCTCTCCTCCCAGTAGGATCGGAAGTCACGACATTAAGGTTGGAAGCAACAATCGGAAGCAAAGAACGGAAGCTCGCCTGCTGTGATCGTAACTTTCTCCCTTGTGACGCTTCTTTGACTCCTCCCGTGGCCGATCGCGACTTCGCCCCTTGCACGACTGTCCCTCCCCGTCGGATTGGAAGTTAGGACACTTTGATCGGAAGCGGACGGGAGCTCCGTGTACTATGAAGATCGGAAGTTGCGACATTTTAATCGGGTGCAAGAACGGGAGCTGCCGGCTGTGAGGGTAACTTTCTCCCTTTGCTGTTCGACATCGCTCCTCCGATCGACTTCCCTCGTTCGACGACATTCCCGTCATTAGTTCTGTACTTACAAGGAGCTTGATAGTGGTGTAGTGACCATGAAAAATAATCAAGCTTGTTGTATGGATGGTATGGAGAGCATATTCATCAGAATACATGATGGTACTATAAGAGAGCTAACTAATGTGAGACACATTCCACATATAAAGAAAAATTTGTTGTTTGTTGGTGATGATTCTTCTAATGTAAGGCATTGAAGATATATCATGAAGCGATGGTTTTTCTGAAAGGAGTTCTTCAACACAACCTCTACTATCTTTAGGGAAGAACAACGATTGGAACGACTGATGTTGCTGATGATTCTTCTAATGTCACTACATTGTGGCATATGCGACTAGCTCATGTTAGATAGGTTTTTCTTATGGCTTTAATAAAGCAAGGATTGATCAAAGAAGCAAGCACCTGCAAGCTCGATTTCTATGAACATTGTGTGTTTGGCAAGAAGACATGAGTATCCTTTTTGTACTATCCACAATACAAAGGGTATCTTGGAGTATGTTCACACAAATATTTGGGGCCCGACGAAAACAGCATCATTCGGCGGGCGGCGATACTTTGTCTCTTTTATTGATAATTATTCTAGATATATATGGGTGTACATCATGAAGCGCAAGAGAGAGGTACTAAAGATTTTTAGGACTTAGAAGAAGTGAATTAAGACTCATGCTGGTAAAAGGATATGGTGTATCAGATCAAACAATGGGGGCGAATACATTTCAGCTGTATTCTTACAAAAGTGCCAGAGATCTAGGATAGAGCACAACTTCACTATTAGAGAGACACCACAGCAAAACGGGATGATAGAGAGGATGAATCGAACTTTAGTAGAGAAAGTTCGATGTATGTTATCTAATGCTGGTTTGGATAGAGTCTATTGGGCTATGGCGATAGACTATGCATGTCAATTGGTAACCATTTGACTTGTGCATTTATTGGGAAGAAGACCCCAAAGAATGTGGTCAGGACATCCTACTAGAGATTATGAGCACTTGAGAGTGTTTGGGTGTCCAACTTACTATCATGTTTAGAATGATAAACTGCAATCACGTGCAAAAAAGTGATTTTTATTGGCTTTAGGTGTGGATTAAAGGGCTTCAAACTCTATGATCCAATAGAGAAGAATGTTCTCATTAGCAGGGATGTTATATTTGACGAGGTGAGCATGCTGAAACCTCGAGACTCCAAGCAAATGGAGAGTTCTACTGAGACCACAAATGCACTGCAGAAGTTGGAGTATGATGCAACTCCATTTGTTCCACAGAAGCCAATTATTTCTACCAGGTACCTGATTCAGTTACATATCAAGAGGTAAAAGATGATGTTGAGGATGAGATTCCTGCTCAAGAAACTAGGCGCCAAAATGTCCCAATATTAGTTTGATTAAGGGATCACATTGCATTTGCACTTTCAGCCACGGAGGCTAAAGTTCCTAGTCATTATAAGGAAGGAGTGGACATTCCTAATGGTGATCCTTGGAAGAAGGCTATGGATAAAGAGATGTAGTCTCTTCAGAAGAATGCTATTTGGAAGTTGATGAAACTTTCTCCATGAAGAAAAGCCATTAGGTGCAAATAGGTATTCTCATGGAGCTAATGTGCAGTATAAGGCTAGGTTGATGGCAAAAGGTTGGAGCAATGAGAAAGGATTTCTTATGATGAGGTATTCTCCCCAGTGGTTAAGCATCTCTCGACTAATGGTCACTTGGCACTTATAACACACCATGGTTTGATTTTGGAGCAGCTCGATCCAGACATTGCACAAGCAATTGATGTTGTGAGTAGCTTCATACATGATCCAGTATGGAGTCACAGCAAGATGTGAAGAGTATCTTGAATGGTACAGTTGATATAGGTTTGGGATTGGATGGTCAGTCACCACGATAGTGGTGTAGGACTCCTGACTAATTGTCCACTTGTTTTAAAGAACTACGCTCAGCTTGATCCCTTGGGAGGGAGTACGTACGCAATCATCTGGATGCATTCAGCTAATATTGAAGTTTGGTTTGTCATATTTTCGCTATCTAAGGTTAAAGATGAGGTGGAGATTGTTAATTTGAAAATTTTTCCAAATCTATATTAGCCTTGATTTGGAAGGCTTTGATAGCTCATTGTATAATTGATTAAGGAGTTGATTATTTTTCTAATGAAGTTGATTTGATTAGGGATTAGATTAGGAAATTTTTCCTTATTGGCTTCGCCTCAAATCCATAAATTGAGAATTTGAGGGCTATTGTAGGTATATGAGAGCTAGAGAGAGCTAAATTATAATCCCTATTGTTATCCAATATAGTGAAATTATCATCCCTCCCCGTAGACATAGGCATATTTGTCAAACCACATAAATCACCGTGTGCTTTGTTTTTGTTGTGTGATTTATGGTTTGCTTCCGTTGTGTATTGCACAACAGAAATTTAATTCCAACACAACTAATCCTCTTCTTCACCCAAATAAATTTGACTTCAACCATTTATCCCAATATCTTTTCTTTTATCTGGATTTGCCTTTAGAATAATTGGCAAATGCAACAATGTAGTTCCTCCTGTCATAATTGTTTGAAGGACTTTACATTGTTAGCGAGCATGGCTTATAATTTTTAGTTTCTTTTCCGTATCCTGCTCAAGTATTGTAGCCGCCTCTTTTTTTTTCCCTCGTCCATTTGGCACTGCAACAATCCCTTTTTTTACTTTATCTGTTCAATCACTTCTTTTTGTGAATTCTAACTTTTCCAATCCTAGTCCAATTAGGCCATTTTTTCGCCATCCAATATATCACAGCCTCAACGGAAATTTTGAGTTTTGGGCTTTATTCTGAAAACCAAGCAACCCTATGAGCCATTTGAAAAATCTATAAATAACAAACCGAGGCATGTAATAGATCAACTTCGATTCAATAATTTTTTATTCCACTTTCAATTTCGGAGTCTACTGGATGAGAGATTCCTTCTAAATGCAGTGCAAGTGTGATGAACAATCTGCAAGGGAAATTATCTCCTTTTACATTGGCAGGAGACCTAAACCTTTTTCACTGGTGATCTATTTCCCTTTTTTCCTCGCTCCAAATATCTCGTCATTCACTTTGCAAGAATTCTTGATTATAATCAAATTCAATATAAATAGCCTTCCAATGAATAATGCAATTCTATATTTGATTTTGACCATTTATTGTAAAAACCGGATAAGCATAAAATCCAAACTATTAAGTTTGTAAACCTGAAATCCAGAACCCTCGGTACTGCTCCCCATTCCAAACTCGTCCAGGTTCGTTTTCCCCACAACAATCGCTCCAGCCTCCCTAAGCCTCCTCACCGCAGTGGCATCAAACGCTGGCCTATAACCCTTCAGAATTTTCGATCCGCCTGTCGAAGGCATGTCGACTGTGCAGATGTTGTCTTTCACACCAACAAGAACACCGGCCAGTGGCGGCAGCTCCCTTCCAGCGGCGACCATTCGGTCCACCTCTTCGGCTTCTTTCATTGCAGACTCCGAGACATGAAGAAAGCTCCGGATTTGCGGCTCCACCTTATGGAGGCGGTCCAGATACTCGCCGGCGATGTCTGATGCTGTTCTCCGTCGAGAGAGAAGAGAGTCTCGGATAGAGAGGATCTCCGAGGACGGTACCCCGGAGGCGACGGTATTGCTGGGAGGAGAGGAGAGGGTGGCTGAGGCGGTGTCCGCACCATGGAGGAGTTGACGCGGGCTCGTCGACCGTGATGAGGGAAGAGCGAGGCGACGAGCAGGGAGGATGAGGCGAGGGTTGGGAATCAGAAAAGACATGCTTTTGATTTATCTCGCTTAGTGAAGTCGCGACTCGTGGTAAGCGGCTTTGGAATGCAGTCCGCGGATTTGGGTTCGCTTAAACTAAAAAAATTTATAAAAAAACTACTTTAAAAAAATAATAAGAAAACTGTAACTATGAAATCTTAATTTTATAATATATAAATCTTAGCCATTAAGATTTTGTAGAAAATTAAATGATAAATTTAAGAGAAAATAATATGTGAAAAACATTATTATTAAAATATAATTATGTGAATTAATCGAAGGCAAAAATTCTCATTTCAACACCTTTATCTAAAATATTTAGAAAATGTATTATATTAGGACGAATTTTTAAGAAGGAGCTTGTTGAATATGTTTGAGTAGCAATAGAGGCACGTTAGTCTCAAATTTTAAAACGAAGCAAACTAGCAGAACAAAATGATGCATTCATTAGAATGTGACAAACGATTTGGTGTGTTGAGAATGCGCTGAATGATTGGCACATTCCACCGATCGCCTGATCAGATCTGCAAAACATGGGGGAGAAAGAAAAATGCCTTGTTTTCACAAATTTTGAGCGGGAATAAAGCAATTGTGTCCATTTTTTTGTTGTCATGTGTGAATGTGTTTATTTATTTATTTACTTACATACATACTATTTTATATTACTCTATTTACACATCTAATACATAAAACTTTGAAATTACATATATACCACTTTATATTATTTTAATATCAAATATGTCACCCATATTTTGTTCTCATCACGGATATATTTCATTCATACCACTCATATTTGATATGAAAGTGAATTATCATTGATGTGTATGTAATATTAAAGTTTTAAGTATTAGATATTTAAATAGAGCAGTATATAGTGGTATGTATGTAAATACTTTTTTTTTAAACTTTTGAGTTGACTATATAAATTTGTTGTGCTGTGAAAATTGCGAATGAAGTGGCTAGGTCCATTCTCTCCTTGAGGAGTGAGGTTTCCTAGGTCATTGAGTAGTTATAAGTTTAATTTTTTGCATAACATCATTTTAATTGATATATCCTCAAAAAATCATCTTGATCAGGCACGAATCTCAAGGCAAAATCAAGCCAAAAATTTTAAAAATTAAATTTGGGATCACCTGAACTCCGATTTCAATAAACTTATAGTCAAACTGAGTGTCTCGAAAATACAAACCCAACAACACCAAAATCGACTCAATCCGAGCCCAAATGAGTCCAAATCAAGGACCTGAAGTGCTATTGGAAAGTTCAAACCACAATTTGGATTATCAAACGATTTCTGAACATGACGAATCCAACAAACCCAAGATCGTTGAATTATGACATCATTAAGACCTTCAAATGTCTCATGAACGGTTCACGAATAAGGGATTCAATATCGGACGTCCATCCGAACCACTCCACCTTTACCTCTGATCTCTCACCTATTTACGGGTCATGCCACTCAAGAAAACTATAACTAGACCTCTCATTTCTTTTGAGAGGGGGTCCAAGCAAGGAGAAGAAGGAAGGACCCAAAAAGAAGCAAGATAAGAGAAGAAGTGTAGGAGGGAAGAAACTCCTCCTCGACCACCGTCGTCGGAATTATGCCCAAGTGACGCTGGAATTCTGCCCGACTTCCAAATGATGCCGGAATTCCGCCCGACTTTTCAAGTGACGTCAGAATTCCGCCTGACTTCCAAGTGACGCAGGAATTCCGCCTGATCTCCAAGTGACGCCGGAATTTTTCCCGACCTCCAAGTGAAGCCGGAATTCCGCCTTACCTCCAAGTGACGCCGAAGTTTCACCCGAACTCCAAGTGACACCGGAGTTCTACCTGAATACCATCTAATGCCTGAGTTCTCCTCGGGCACCAACTAACGTCAGACTTCTACTCGACGTTGGACTTCCGCTCGTCACCAAGTTTCTACCCGACGTCGAACTTCTGTCTGTTGTCAGACTTTCGTCGGACATCTATCCGATGCTGGATTTCTATCAAGTGCTCGGTGTTTAGCTGACGCCATCCTTCTGACCTTCGTCGCTCGTCGACTACGGTCCTTCTGACTTACATCGCCTACCGACTACAATCCTTTCGACCTACATCGCTAGCCGACTACGATCCTTCTGACTTACGTTGCCCACCGACTACAGTCTTTCAGACCAAACAAACACATCAGCAGTGATTCTTTGTATTCTCATCATGTAATGTACTTTATAAGATGTACATCATGTTATGGCCTTCCCCCAAGGAAGGATCTCATTTGTAATCAACAATACTAGTACTGGATTCATTCAAATTGGGCTAGGCCCCGTGGTTTTTCTCCCTTTTTTTAGGGGTTTTTCACATAAAAATCTTGGTGTATCTAGTGAATGACTCACCCTCTCTATTTATCTGTATGCGTGCTGGATCTTCATACAATGCTAAGACACTAAACTTTATATTTCTCTACCGCTGCGAATACTCCATGACACAACATTAATATTGAGTTTTATTTAAAGATCTAGAATAATGTTTCATGTTAGAATAATTATATATGATAGTATAAGTAGTTGCTCATTTCAGTTAAAGAATTTTTTTCTTGTAGATTTCTAATGTTAAATTAGTTAAGTACATTATTTTTTGTGAAAGTATAAACCAGACCTTTATTTCATTCTTTGAAGTTATTATTTCTTCCGTTGTATTATGATTCGGGTTAGATCAAGAGAAATGGTATAAGGATGGCAAAGCAAGAGACTTTTTTTTTGGGAATTTAAAGCAACAGACTTTCGATAATAAAACTTTATTTTTGAAAAAAATGAAAAAAAAAATCAAGAGAAATGATGAGAAAAAATAAAGAATGATTTAACTTTAAAATATGTAAACTATTTTACCAATTTTTATAAATTAAATTGCTTTTATGATAAAAATAATATTTTTTTTGTAAGCCCAAATTAAGTAGGTTTTTGTTTTTTATTTATTTAAGAAAATGCTAGGTTTAATTTTTAGAATAAATATAAGATTTATAATGTAGGAATTATATATTTTTTAATTACAAACGTATGGAATATTTATATTATATTTACTTTAAATGAAAGTATATGTTGGAAATAATTCGTTTAGATATTGTGATAACAGAATATGCTCTAACATTTTAATTAATTAATTTAGAAGTTTATTAGAGAGGTAAATGAAATGAAATACTGAAAACAAACTATTATGTGATAATCTATAAAGTTTTTAAGAGAATATGTAAGAAGTACATATAATATGAACTATTAATAATAATATATGGGTTTATTTTTCTACATTTTGAAATGTACCTTTAAATGATAATAATATGAAATTTTGAAGATTTTTGAGATGACTATGTTAATAGTTGTTAGTCTCTCATATAATCTTATTAAGTAATGAAAAAAATATTCCTACAAAAGTTAATATTATTTTTATCAAAATTTGATTTTAAAAACCCAAAGCAAATTTTATAAATTTGGAGAGGATAGCAAAATGAAAGTCAAGTAGTGATCACTTAATTTTTTTTTTTTAATTTAGCGTATCCATATAGTGAAGATGTTTTCAGCTCCTTGACACATCTTCATTCTTTGTAGAATTTCACGATTACTTTTATACCTTGGTGGCGAGTTGCAAATTACAACTGAATTCACTCCAACCTATGTCGGCGGTAGGAATAGGTCAATCATCATAGAGGACATTATACCATTGGCCCAACTAAAACTACAAATTATTGATGCATTACAGTACAATTAATTGACATTGGTTGTAAATCTTGTATGTTGAATTCGTAATAAGGCGGATATGTTGCCACCCATATGATCTATGTTGAGGTTTGTAAATATATGTAGTTGGAGGCTAGAAGGCGCACTGTTATCGTATACATCGAGTCTAAAAAAAAGCTCTCCCAAGAGAGCCTACCAGGACAAGCACAACAACATTTATATTTGATATTGTTGTTGGCCCTTCAACTCAAGTATATCGATAAGCTATCATATAACGTTGAAGTTTCCTTTCTTTGTTAGTGGTCGTTGACTAAAAAAAATATAATGTTGTCGAACTATGTGGTTATCAGTGCATAATTTTCAATTGTAATGGATACTGACTTTCATGGACGCTTAAGCTTATGAGAGTGCCGATCTTATTTGGAACACGATACTCACCCACATGCTACTGTTAGTGAGCGACGAGGTGATCACATGTCACTATTTGAGTACAATGAAGATTCTCATTCTTTTAGGCCATATGTGCAAGTGGCTTCACAACAACAACCACATCTTCTTGAACATGGGGAAGGAAATGAAGATGATATGAATGGATAGTGTTAGAAGTGATGCATCTAACAATGGCCCTAGATTAAACATTTCTAATCCTTCAATTGAAGATGATGATATGGAGATACCCCGGGCATGAGTGCATTTAAGAACATGCTAAGGAAAATCACGAAGGCTTGGAAGCAATGTTAGCTAGCAATGATTTCATAGAAAAAGCTACTACAGCACAAGAATGAGCCACAATGCGACCTATGATGCTCCAATGGTGGGGACCACGTTAACATTAACATAATATATGCATTTAACTAAACTTCATGAAGGGTTTATATTTCATACAAAGGTAGCCTTACAATGTACAATTAATGTGTGGTTTATTGCCAATAATATTGAGTACATCAAATATAGCTCTAATAAGAGCAGACTCACCATTATATATGCTCATTACTGCAATCTACAGAGGCCTTGTGCTCCTACATGCAGCACGAAGTAAGAGACTAGGTAGAATTTGGAGAATATTTGACTATGGTCCGTAGCACACCTGTACACATGCTATCACGATGGACATTCATCATAATTGTACATTAAAATTTGTATGCACATACATTACTCCAATTGTGCATCATCAAGTTGATATAAAGCCAAGAGAAATAATTGCTAGAATGGAGTCCAAATTTGACATAAAGCTTTCGTATGTTAAGGCATGGGATGCATAACGAAAGGAGATACAAGCTATATTTGGTATATATAATGAATCTTATCGCTTCTTTTATCGTTTCATTGAGGCAACCCATATTGTTATCTTGGGTCATGT